CATGTAAAATCTATCAAAAGTGGTTTTGTGTATTATTCATTAAGTTTTTTCAAAACTTTTTTTTATGAAAGTGTGTGTTAGTTAATCAGAAGGGTCTTGAATGATTTTCAGAAGATAATCTGTTATAATTAGGAAGTTATCAAATTTTTTGTTTGTCTATGTTGTTAGCTTAAAATTTGTAGACGTACTTGTAAGTCTACGATATAAATTTTGGTTTAACTATATTGTTTGCTAATAATTGTAGAGGTACTTGTAAATCTATTTTATAATTTTATCAAACATGAAATTTTTGTTTGCTAATTATGTAAACCATATTTTTTTTTTGTAGGAGATGGCTCAATTACTCATTGTATACAGAGAATGAGTGGTGAAAAACTCTAGATGTGTTAGTGTTATGTGTCGAACTTATGAGTTGTGTATTAGTGTTTCATTGCTTTGAGTTGTCTTTTATTGGATTTGTAGGTCTTTAGTCTGTGTTGAACTTGTGATAGACTTATGTTATATTTTTCTTTGTCAAGTAATAAGTCTACACGAAAGAAGACTAATAAGTAACATCACTTTTTTATGGCTCCAATAGTAGTCTTTTATTTTAGGTTTCTTAAAAAAACTGATTACAAAAGTGTATACAAGTAAGTCTACACGAAAGAAGACTAATAAGTAACATCACTTTTTTATGGCTACAATAGTAGTCTCTTATTTTAGAGTTCTTAAAAAATGATTACACAAGTCTACACAAGTAAGTCTGTAATTGCACTTCCAATGTTCCACTCAAAACATTGGACTCCCATGCAATGTCCACTTAAAAAGCTTCGCTATTTGTAGCTTCCTCAAAGGACAATTATCAGCCTGCACTTTTCAAAGTTAACATATCAAAAAGATAGAAACTTAACAGAAGAAAAACAAAAGTACAACATGATTAAAGGTAAAACATATTATAAGTCGCTGATTTCGCCACTGGCACCATGAAGAGAATGCTTACCAATAGCCTTCATTCTCTCAATGTTCTTGTATCTTAAGGTGGATCCATATGAACCTGCAGGTTCGCAAAAGTTGAAAGTGATTACATAGATAATATCATGAGCCTAAGGACAAATAGTAGCACTTACATAATGCGAGTTGGTTGAAATAGTAAAAATCAAACTATTTCAAGGAATATAGATAAAGATAGAAATAACATCATATCTAAATCTTGCAAAGTGATAAGAAAAAACACATAAACATCTGAGGAACAGTAGCAAAAGATACTAATAATACTGCAAACAGGAATTACAAGGAATCATGCACATAGAGCAATCACTCAAGAAAACTTGATAGCAAACAGTCCATTAATGTATACACAAGGAGCATTATAGGGAGACTAGTTACTAAGAAAACAAATTACTGTCAATTAAAAGCTTATCAACTCCACTAAGAATCCAAGCCAATCACTACAAAGCTGG